ACTGAGCCATCATCCTTGAGACCCACAGTCCTCCACCAGGTCCCAGACCTGAACTCCTGTATAGCCCCAGAGTCCCAGCTATGAAAGAATAGTGGGATCCTGGGAAGAGAAAGTCTACAGCTGTACTAGTGGTGCTTATTTCTTGCTGTCTGTGTGCAATAAACACAGGTCCCTAGAAGGGACCCTTAAACATGTATCAAGGTAACTGTATACTGAAAAAGGCAACATTTAGAGAGAGTTTTACTTAATTCTACCTCATGGTATATCTAATATGATCTTGAATATTTGCAAGACTTAATTTCTCAGATTTCCAGTATATAGCTGGAATAGATGTTTCTATAAACCATCAGAGTTCCTTCTTTAGATTATTTGGTAAGTTGGGACTATTACAGAAAGAGACTAGTCAAACTGATGCTGCTCTATTTCCGTCTCAAAGACGTAAATCAAAAGCCAGTGAGCATCAGTGAAGGGAGTATGGTAATCACAGCCTATGTAAAAGTCTTCATAAGGATACGGTGTCTTAGTCCATTTGAGCTGCTATGTCAAATACCATAAACTGGGTAGCTTATAAAAACAGAAATTTATTTCTCACAGTTCTGAAGGCATGAAATTCAAGATTAAAACACCAGCAGGTTTGGTGTCTGGGGAAGGCCTGCTTTCTGGTTCAAAGATGACCCTTCTTGCTGTGTTCTCATATGCTGGAAGGAGCAGGACGGCTCCTAGGGCTCGAATCCCATGAAGGCTCTGCCTACCAGAGCTAATCACTTTCCAAAGGTCCCCATCTCCTAATTCCATCCCATTGTTGATTAAGTTTCTATGTATGAATTTGGAAAGATACAAATATTCAAAACATGGCATATGGGAAGCCTACCATTCACATATAAATCACTACAACTAAAGGTGGAGTTAGAGCATTGATGATAAATGAGGTGCATCTTCAGGTACCTTGGCATGGCATAGTGATGAAAAGCATAAACTCCAGCACCAGACTACTTGAGGTGAGCCCAGCTCTGCCACTTACTAGCTGTGTAACTATGGCCGTCACTTGATCTCTATATGTGTAAATTTCTCCCTGTATAAAATGGAGATGGTAATAATAATTTCCAATAAATAGGATTATAATGAGGAATGTATGAGTTAACAAAACTTTATTTAACAAATTAAATAAAGCCCTTGGACAGTATCTAGAACATAAATGCTCTATAAGTTGCTATATAAAATCAAAGAAATTCAGAACTATGGCTTGATTTGCTTTTATTTATTCATGACTATATTTGTCCTGTAGATCACTGTGTCAGGGATTTAAATTGGTTCACATGGACTATATTTGATATGTTCATCTAGACAATGAATCTTTTCAGTTAAGGCTTCCATAATGAAGTACCACAAATTGGCTCGCATAAAATAAAATACGTTTATTCTCTGACAGTTCTGGAGTCCAGAAGTTCAAAATCAGGGGGTTAGTAGGGCCATGATCCTCCTGAAACTTTTAAGGAATCCTTCCTTGCCTTTTCCTAGCTCCTGGTTGTTTGTTGGCAGTATTTGGCATTTCCTGGCTTGTAGATGCATGGCTCCAATCTTCTGTCTTCATATGGCGTTCTCCCTGTGTCTCTTCTCCTATAAGTATACCTGCCGTATTGGATTAGGGCGCTATCATGCTCCAGTATGACCTATGACCTATTTTAAACTTATGTTTGCAGCAAACCTATTTCCAAATAAGGTCACCTTCTGAGGTACAGGAGTCAGGACTTCAACATATCTCTTTTGCAGAGACACAACTGAACCCATAATAATATTTTTAAATGAATTTTAATAACTTTAGATAGCCATATGTTCTTGATTTTGCCACAGATCCCACCACTCCATATTGTCTCACACCTAGCTTGCCTGATTTATTCACATGACTTGCTTTCCATTTGCTCTACACCATGAATATTAACAGACAATTGGATCAGAAAAGGGAGAAACAGCTTTATTAAAATGTCATATTCAAAACTGGATTATATTTCACATACCTAGAAATTTCCATGCATCTACACTTGAATGCTGTAGAGAATACCAGATTTCAAACATTTTCTTTTTAAGAGCATGAGCTTTAGAGTCTAATTGGGGTCAGAATGCAGCTCCACTACTCACAAGCAATGAGTCTAAACTGAGCTTGTTTAATCATCTACAAAATGAAGGAATTAACATCAATCATATAGAATTGATTTACAAAATGAAGAAAATAACATCCATCAAGGTGAAGCATTATAATTCTTGGAACTTAGTAGGTTCTCAAAATGGTAGCACAGCAATAGCAGCAGTAGGAGTAATAAGAATGGCAGTTATTCTTAAGTAGGTATTAATATCAACATGGGCAAAGTATTACTTTAACCATGCATTCTGTTTCTTAATTATATTTATTGCTTATATATTCTTATTCATCTTTTTTGCTGATTGCATGTTTAATTTTACATCTTTTTCTAAGAAGGCAAGTCCTTAATACTTAGCCATCCTTGTACCACAGGGTCTCTCACCTGCTGTTGGCACAGATTAACCCTGTCTGTGCCCAGTGACATCAGTACACCACTTGAAATTAATTTCATATATTTTTATATTCAGCTATATCTTCTGCATGCTTTTAGCATTCAGACTTCATGTATCCTTGGGTCTATGTTTGCATTATTTGTTCACCCATAGAGAAGAAAGCCAAAGAAAGATTAATTCATAAAAAATGAATGATTGTTGAAACTCTTCAAAGCCTTGATTTACTGCATAATTAGTAGACAACACTAGAAAACAGAATATCTTTCTGACTGTGAATTAAGTAAGTTGATTAATTCATTAATTACGTATGATAACTCCATAGATAACATAATTGTACCACTGGTTAACAAAATACAGCAAAAGAATCAAGCATGTTTTCAACATGGTCAAAAATTTAATTTACAATATTGGATATCTCTCTTAGAATCCTAATTAAAGATCTCAGAAGAGCCATGTATAGTCTAAACACATTTCTGGAAGGAGAGTTGTATTACTTACAAAGTATGCTCCAATTAACAACAATCCTTTTTTTTCCCAGAATTTCATCTCAACAAGAAATCACCCATTCATTCACTCATTGAACAAATGTTACTGAGCATACAGGATACAACAGTGAAAAATTCAGACAAAAATCTCATCTGTCATGGAGCATACATTTGATCATTGTTCTGTTCACTATGGTAGCTGCTAAGCACATGTGACTGTTTAACCTTCAAATTATTTAAAACTAAAAATTCAGCTCCTCATTTGGACTAAGTAAATTTCACATGATCAGTAACCATATGTGGCTAGTAGTTATCATATTCGACAGCACAGAAGAACATTTCCAACATTGCAGGAAGTTCTCTCAAACAGCATTATTCTAGAGAGTGGAGATAGAGAAAAAAAATTAATTAAGAAGATACTTTTAGACCATGATAAAAACTCTGACAGAAACAAAGAGGGAAATGTGATAAAGACCATTTGGGGACTGGGATAGACATCTCTAATGAGAACACATTTTAACTAAAACTTAAAGAATTCAACTATGTGAAAAGCTGTCAAAGCAAAGGATCAGCACATGCAAAGGCTTCGGGGCATGAATGAACCAGATGTATTTGAGGAAAAGAAAAGGGGTCAATGTGAAATGTAAATGCAAGGAAGAAATAGAGTTGAGTACAGAATCTTTTGAAAATAGAGCTGAGTACAGAAACTTTTCAGAAATAGGTCCAGAAGCTGCAATGGAACAGGGTCTCTAGAGAGGACTTCTTTAATAATGGGAGAAAGAAGAGCACGCTTGCATGCTTAGGAAGCTGATGCAGTAGACAGGGAAACAATGATGGATCTAGGAAAAAGAGGGAAAGATCTTAAGAAAGAAACACTGTAGATATACAGAGAAAAAGTAAAAAGGGTTTGTCTTCTATTGTGCTAGAAAAAAAAGCAGAAAATGTGGGTGGAGATGCAGATACGTTTGTAGATCAAGCGGCTGGATTGGAAGATAAGAGAGTTCTGGTAATACTGTTTGTGGCTTCACAACGAAGTTGTTTTAAAAAATTCTTGAAGCAACAGTTATAAGATGCAATGTAGTAAGTCATTTTTCATCATCTTGGGCTGAGAAGAAACCATCTCAGTGTCCTCTGAGGTCATTAGCTGAAGACTGTACTAGATAGAACTTTGGAGTTAGACCTGGTATCAAATCTTGACTTCATCAGTTATGATGTATGTGCCTTTGAGCAAGTTATTTAAATTCTCCCAGCCTCTGCCTCTTCATATGTAAAATTGCAATTATCACATATTTAGTCCATTAAGTTTCTGGATAATATATAATAAGCAACATACACATAAAGTATATTTGAAAAGACAAGCAAAGAAAATACAAAAGCAGCAATCAGAGATTGAAGAATAGGAGGGGCACACTATTATTAATATCTAGGGAGGAGAGAATTTCTAGAATAGACAGTGGTCCGTAGACTCACATGATACAAAATAATGAAAGGAGATTCAAGCTGAGGGAAGGCTGCTGCATTGACTCATGAAAATGCCACTGATAATCATCAACATAATAGTTTGTGTGAAAAGGTAGTCACCAAAATCAGAATGTATGGGTTTTTTATATAAGTAAGCAGTGAGGAAACAGGCAGATACTATAGAGTTTGAGTGGTTAAGTAAGGAGAAATAGATACTATTAATAGTAATACAAGAGCAAAGCTGGAACAAGAGAAGGCTCCCTTCTGGTATGAAGGAAATGGAGCTGTGCTTTATGCAGACAAGGAGGGGTTACGCTAAGGGTGGGAAGATGCAGGAGAAAGTGCCCGTGTTAACAAAGAGCAAAGTATGTCAAGGTCTCCCTAGAGCTGGGACTTTGGAAAAGCAAATGAATTTCTGTTCTTATAGACAGAAAAAAAGGAGAGGATGAAAGCTGAAGGAACCAGACTGGTAAGACCCCTAAGTAGAGAAGAAGCAAAAGAGTAGAATACCAAATGAAAGCTTTCAGCTTTGCACAGTGGCAGTATCACAGCCAATGGGCTTTATCTGAGGCGCAATTATTGCCAATTGAAAACTTTTCCCAATACCTCATCATGACGACTTGCAATATAGTCAGCATTGGCAATTTTTGGTCTCTACGGAGACTGAATTAAAAAAAAAAAAGAATACCAAATGAAAATCAGAGTTACTAGGAAATCAGAAAAATGAACAGGTTTAAGGGCATCAGATTTGGGTAGACTGAGAAGTCTTCAAAATTAGGATTTACCTGTCTGGAAGATGGACTTTCCCAATAGCCTAAGAGGAGTCACCCTTCTTGGCTTCCAAGACACAAAAATGTCAATTTTTAAAAAAGTATTATTCTTTTGTCATGATCTGTTATCAAATAGGTTCCATTAGAGTAGATCAGGTCTCTCCTTCCCGGATTGCAAATGAGTTTCTGATCCATCATTACAAGCTACCTCTCCGTTCATTCTGTCACTCTGAGATTTCCTTAGATAGTCCCAAACCCTTGAGTCACAAACTTGTAGATACTCTTACAGTTGGCTAATCAAATGTACCATGAGTGGAACTTATTCATTGACTTTTTAATAGAAAACCTTAGTCTGTTGCTTCTATAAAGATCGCTAACAGGACACAGCTAAAAATCAACCAATTCACAGATTGGTGTAACAGGTGCTCATACTGGAATAAACTGCTCATCAGAGTCCTCATCTTATTCTCTCTCTCTCTTTCTCTCTCCATTGTCTGTACCCAACAGAAGGCCTGAGCTGTACAATGGAAATGATCATAAGACAAGTGCTCTCCACCTTGGCCTCCAAGCACATATACCATTTCATTAATCAGCTGGTATTCCTAAAACTTCCGGGTTGTAAAAAGAGTCTATTTATGAAATATCTGGCTACAGTGTATAATAAACAATGCCAGAGTGAACTGAAAACAGACTAATTTAATAAGCAATTCCTTTCCCCTACACTGTTTAAATTTACATAATCAACTGGCTATAATATTTAGCATACTTTTAATGTTTCTCATTTGTTTACACTACAATTCTGTGCTTCAGACTTCTCTCCATTCACCAAAATATTGATTGGTCTACTAAAGGTACAGAACAGCAAATATTCCACTGGTAATCATTACGTGAATATGAAGGAAGTGAGAAGTGGAGCTACTGTATTTTTCTTGTTAATTACAAACCTAATATTCTATTAAAATGTATGAGATGACAAAATCTCAACAAACTCTTTAAAGCTATTACTAGCAGATAAAGTATTCTATCAAAGTATTAATATTAACATCATTAAAATAGTTTTATCAAGTGTGCGTTTATCTCCAGATTGGAAACAATAGCAGCCTGAAGGCGAGAAATGCCCTTGAGTATTGTGGTATGAAAACCAACAGCAGTTTTAGAGTCACATAAAATCTTCTTGTGGCTTCACAACTAAAGAAAAAAAAATATTGAAGCCACAGTTATAAGATGTAATAGAGTAAATGAGTCTATTTTTCATCACCTTGGGCTCTGAGAAGAAAACATGGCAGAGTTATATCGATAAGGGAAGAGCTCAGATATTAAAATACATTAACTTTACTTTAATTGATTTAAACAGATCCAGAGCTTTCTTAATGCACATGATGTTATTTCTGCATTAGTGGACAAAATAGATCTGCGTTAGATTGCAAAGCTCCATCTCTATCTCTGTCTGTATGGAGAGTAAAACCTCTCAATTTTTTAGTCTCTCTTAAAAAACAAAACAACACAGGAAACCATACATATTTATTAGCTCTAGCTAAATAATTTCTTTCTTTATCTTCTCCTTGAAATGCCTTTTGGTAACATCAATACAGTGTTCTCCTATAGCTCAGAAAGCTATAATCAGGGAACAATAACGATAGACAAAGTTTCTTCTATACACCATAAGAATAAAACCTTTTCTTAGACCTCTCCAAATCTCTAACTGAAATAGTTTATCTCATCAGTTTCTTCCTCTCTATTATTCTCTTTGTTTCTTAGCACAGTTTGAAAAATGTCAGATGAATTACTGAAGGGTAGAACCAACTAGGAAGGCTCACCAGACATGACATCCAATCTCACATTCACAGATGAGGAAACTGAAGGTCAAAGAAGGAAAGTGACATCACAGAGCTTGTTTATGACATAAACCCTTGATCTCCTTTATGTTATTTGACATATTTGTATGGGGTTCAAAACAGAAGGTGAAAAGTTAAATATAGGCTTCCATTTCAACTCACTCCTTTTAAATTCACAACATTTTAATTTTTGGTCAAAAATCTATAACAATCCTTTGTTCTGATAGGAGAAGAATGTGAGAAATGCGTAGATGTTTATCCAGCAGTCAAATTAAATGATGAAGCTTCCTTTTTGTTTTCGGTTCATAGAAAATATTTTCTTCTAGAGACTCTGCAGACTGGAGTCCTGCTTTTAATCTTGGGTTTACTAAAACACCAATCAGGGCCATAAAAAAGTTAGAAACATATGTTGATTCTCAGGAAGGTAAAGTCCAAGGTGATGTACAAATACGCTGCCACCACCCCCACTTTCAACATCCCACTGCACATACAAAGATCAGCAAATGAAGGAAGAATCCATGTTAGCACACTCTGCAGAAGCCAAAACTCTGTATTTCTTTAATAATCCTAAAACAAATGCTATTGAATGGACTGATTCAAGTGCTTTGTTTATTTTATGGAAATATTTCCAAAGAAAGCCTTTCTATGTGGTGCCTGAAAAGGCTTTTATAAAAGTATGTTAATTATATGCTGCAAGTTGAAAGTATCATTGAGCAAGAGTACTTGCTGGATAAAATACCAATATACTATCACATAGATCTACTAATTTAGGCTAGTCCTGATCCTAGATTTCCAGCTGGGATCTGGAATTATTTAGCAATTATTTAGCTGAGCATAAATATTTAGAGACAGCTTTTGCTAACAAATCTTGCCTCTAGGAGCCAGGCCCATAACAATATTCTTGGCACTAGCTTTCCACACATAAATCAAAGATCTAACTTCACACCTTCTCTATTTCATTTTTACTATTTTGTGTAGTACCAGCACTCCTTTTTAAATTTCTGGTCTCTTTTTGCAGTATCCTGTAGAACAGAAATCTGGCTGACCTCATGGGGCCTGTACTGAGAGTCTGAAAAGTTGCTCAAGAGAAACACGTTGGGTTCTTTTTGAATATTCCGTTTTGGATTTGTAAAGTTTACGAGAGTTTGGGATTTCCTGGGCCTGGGATCTCACTTTTATAAAATGTGCTCCCATTAAGCATTCTCTCTTTCTTTTTTGTGTGCATGTCTCTGCACACATGTGCACAAGCGTGTGCCCCTGATCCATGACATGTAAGGCTATGAAAAGCACCAGGATATTTCTCAACCTGCAGAAGATTGCCCTGCTTTGAATGACTGACCAACTGTTAACACGAAATCAAGTGTTCAAAGCAAGATATGCCCTTTGGTGCAGCGGGGTAGATTCTCCTATATCATGTGGTCTTTGAACACTATGACTCCTATTAACTTTTATCCTTTGAAAATGTAATTCCTCTTAGGAAATGAGCAGTTTGCTGATTTTCCAACTCTCTGCTGAAATTTAATTGGGAGCGTCATTGACAGTAGCACTCCAGCTGAGTTCTCTATATATGGTAAATAAATCATGTGAACAACAGTACCCAATTTCACATTAATTGTTTGGAAATCTCCACAACATCAAACATTTTGTTAAAAGTCTAGAAAGAAATAAGTGTGGCTCTTTTGTTGTTGTCGCCGTTGTTTTGCTTCGGAGTGATTTGTTCTAAATACAGCTTAACAGGCAGATGACTGGTTTGTGACTAGAGTATCTTTTCTGAGATGAAAAAGCAATACAAATGCTTCCCAAAAGGATGCCAACCAGGCTCAGAACAACACAGGGACTATGGAATGGGTGCACCTGGGGAAATCCTTATCACAAATTGGATTGACAGGGAGGACCCAGTGCCTTTCCCAGCACACGTGCCTCTGAAAAGCTGAAAGGGAATCACAATGCTTTAGGAATGAGATCTGGGAATTGTCTAAATATGAGAGCTTCAAATTGCTCAGGCATTAAGAGAATAAAAACATGAAATGCAAATATTGCAGGAATAAAGGGGAGAAGATACGGCACAAAACTCATAATCATTGAGAAATGGGAGCAGAAACTGAAGCCATACTCCAGGGTTGGATTTAGGGAGATCGCTTGTTCCTTGTGAAGGGCATCCTTCACTTGCTTTCATCCCTCCTTTCACAGCTGACTTCTGCATACCATGCTTGAAGAGAAAGGGAAAATGGGGATTCCTTCAGAAGTCAGCTGAGCATAACAGAGAAAAATCTATTTAGACCTTTGTTGGTCAAGATCTTTCTCACTTGTGATGAAAATTACCAGACTACAAAATAGGTGAAAGCAAAGCTATAGCTGTCTGCAAGAGTCACTACGAAAATTAGAAATTAAGGGCTCTGATTTTTCATGTGATGTCCTCTTGGCTCTTTTAAAAAGTTAGGATGCCAATGCCTCTATTATTGCAAGGGATTAAATAGTATAAAGTAAAACAATGAACATTATTCCACAAAACTTACCCAGAAATGTTGATATGTTGCCATATTTCTATATGGTTCCTTAAGCTCTAATTCTATTTCCATTTAGAGTCCACTTTGCAGGTAAGACCATGGCAAATTTTGCTCACATTTTTGTTTTTTAAAGATGGAATCCAAAATCCCTGCTTTAATGGGTTTCTATCCAATCAATCATGCTCGCCAAAACAAAACAATACACTTATTTTATTGTGATGAGCCCACTCATGTAAGCTATCAGCATGGGCATTGGCATGAAGGTATTGACTTTTAAAGTAATATGAATCCTCAGACATTATTTACAATGAAGACTTCTGGAAATAAGAATAACTGACCCCACTGAGGTAAAAGAATGGACTGAAAATCATAAAAGCAACTTTAAGCTGAGAAGCCTAGATTCTCCCAACATTACTTTTTTCACTCCATGCTCTCAAGGTTGAAGCATGCTTGAGATTTTGCATAGCTTGGTGCCAATGGAAACTTAAATGTTGGGGTATTAGCATGAAAGAAATTAATCCTGTTGACTCTTCTCAACAGAAAATAAGAGG